TAAACGCGACGATAGCTCTTGTCGATGTGATAAAATAAAAATGCGAGTGGACTGTATATAAAATGTAATGACTAGTATAAGAGCGGAATAACAAGATGTAGATAAGAATTTAGTAACAAGTAAAAAAAATGCGTAAGCGCAGCCGTGCGTCTAAGCATGCAACAGCTGACTGGCGCGACGCGGGGCGCGGGCTCGGCTGTAGACCGGCCGGCGAGCCGCAGCCCCCCCGCGTCCCTCGTTCACTGCCGCTGGTGCGCGGGCGCGCCCGGCGTTGTTGAGACAGGTGCCTCAACAGACCTAAAGACTAGACAACAACAGTACAAAAACAAGAGTATGCCAATTTATGCAAAGAATTTTACAGTTATATGAATAGTAGAAGGTAGTAAAACACAATATCAATACATGTATAAATGAGCAAATATCATAAGTAAATACAGAACTTGTGCCATTTATGTAATTGCACTATTCTGTTTGTTTAACATCTATTTTGAGTGTTTAAACAAATTCTGTCTAGGGATTGTTTTAAGTATGTTAGCTCAAAACAAATATTTTAGTACCAACAATAATATTAAATACTCCTAATTGATTCTCCGATGACTCAATGCCACAAGAATCTAATCAAATAGAGAACCGAAATCTCATATGTATACCTAATGGAGTAATACCTTTTTTATTTGTAAAAAATTTCCTCATTAGTACAAATATTTTATATAGTAGACCGATTGGTCTGAAGATGATTATCTTAGCTTAAATATGAACCCTAAGTAAAACAATAAACCGTCTATTTTTACATATTGCAAATTAAGCGACACTGAAGAAGTTATAACATTTTTTTTTTCTTTTGGAGGGGTAAATCATTGAATTACTTGTCCTGGCTTGGATGAAGCGAGACGGGATGTCAGACTCTTACTGACTAAAAACCACCCAGTTCCTACTTCTGCTCTTGGAACCGGAGCCCGGCAACCCGATAGGTCCTCCGCAGCTCCGTAACAAGACCTAACAATCTTGTGCGGGCTCGGAGGGATCAGGCTGTGGATCTGTCCTCGACGAGCTAGGTCCTTGTGGAGAGCAAATGGACTGTATAATGAAACTGGAGAACTCTCGTACACATATACTTTTATTACGATAATGTTAACAACAGTAGTGGAGATTCACAATATTAGGTCGACTGGCTATGATCGACTTTATACATATAACGACTACATACATTGACAATACATTAATACACTGACTGTGTGATTTATCATTGACAACTGATTGCGCCTCGCAAGGAGGCGTCCTTGCGAGGCTAATATAAGGACGGCTCCTCCTTACTCAATGCCGGTTGGCATTTTTATCATCTTTAAGTCACCATCATCATCTCAATGATGATATAAAATCAGTACACATTTTGGTCTTTTAAAACCTCGGTTACACTTCTCTAGGCCTTTAGGCTTTAGCCAAACGTCACTTTAGCGCTTGTCTACAGAGTAGAAATCAAAATGTATGGGGACGACACTGACAAGTGTCAAAACTTACATCAACTCCACATAATTTGGTTTTCTATTCTACATATAGACAAGCGCTAAATGGCTTTTGGCTACAGCTGCTGAGTAGTAAAAAACCTCATACTTACTTCCATGTCTCCATGAGAACAACAATAGGATGTTGTGCATCACTCGGATTGTGACACAATATTCTATGATATGTCACATAAGCTTTCTGTCTGCATCCCTCGGAACAGTAGAGGGCGCCACATTAGTCACAGCTTGTTATGCTTTCAAGGTTCAGATCAAATCTATCAGAATGAGGCAGAACTATGTCTGGTTTGCATGATAGTCGCCTAACATTCTGTTCTGGAGTTTCTAGTGGCCTGAAATTGGTAGATATTGATTATTGTAGAGAATATGATACAGATACTGATATATTAAAGTTTACAAATAGCTAAAAAAAAAAAAGTTTCAACTTTCATACTAAGTCGATCATGTAACTTGGTCATTTTGTATGGGGAGGCGAAAAAAGAGAAAAGTCTAATACGAAATATTTGATTTGTTTCTTCATCAAGTTTTCTTTTAAATCTGGATCTCTGCTTTCTAGGAATTCTAATACGGAATTGAAAACAGAGTAAAATCTCGTTAAGCATGGACCTTTCGACAACCAACGTACTTATAACAATGTAGGTTATAGGAACTATGCTCATATTTTTGCTCTTTACTACCAAAAGCAGATAAATTTTCGTGGACCCCCATTAACATCTTATGGACCCCCATTGTTTATTCACGCCTAGTTATGGAGATTAGTGTGTTCAAACAAAAAAACTAACTCTTCCGCTTTATATAATGGTATAAGATTTGTATATATTTATAAAGCGACAAAGTTAAATTCTACAAAAATAACTACATAGAACTATGTACAAATATTTTGGATTGCTTTTTGGTTTAGTTTGAGAAATTATTACATTGTTTTGTAATTGCATGTTTATGTTACCTTATTGCAAAACTTTTGATAATGTAATAGAAATAAATGCAACTAGTAATCTATGTCTGGTTTCATGATATTTCCATGCACCTTAACAATTAATACAAGTTTATGTTTATGACAAAATTATTTTGTTTCTTATAAAATCACGCGACATTCCTCAATATTTTTTTCAGTTGTAAAATTAGTAATTACGAGCGCACTTTAATTTTTACTATAGACCGTGTGTCAAATAACACACCTAAATTGAATTTATATATTAAAAAACAAAATAAATAGAAATACAGAAACATATCGGACAAAACATACTTCATACAGTAGTCACATGCTAAATATCTGTAGGCCGCATTCCAAGCAAACTGACACGACACTAAAGGATCCTCTTCTAAAATAACATCACCCTGATCAAATTTCTGCGTTGCACAGAGTCCTTTACCCTGTAAAAATAACAATTCATTGAAAAAAACACTTCGATTACAATACCTTAAATATGTTAAAAATCACTTACCTTCTTGCTGCTTGTCAATCTTATCTCAAATCCTTCCATTTTGATAATTTATGCTACATTTAGAAAAGTTAAATTAGAGGAACTATTCTGTTAAAACAATAGAAATTGGTAAAATTGCGATACCAATATGCATTAGCGGAAGATTGAAAGGTTATGTATGTCCGTAATGTCAAAACGATTTCCTGTTTATGCATAGAGTTACTAGGCTAAAAAATAGCTCGTATGTTTGGATACACATTTTCTTCTTTTACATAATGAAGGCTCTAAGGTTAATGTTTTTTACGCTCACTAGATGGCGTTAATGTACATCTTACAGTTTGAATTCCTATTCAAACTGTAAGATGTCGTTATACAGGATCTTATCATACTGATCTCATAATTTATAAATACTCCTTACCATATAAACGCACATTCTAAGGGTATTGAAAGTAAAAAAAATAAAATAAAAAGTGTTTATTATAACTTTGGACCAAAACATTACATTAAACGTAAATTAGGCCGAGCAGGTACCTACTAATTACACTTTTAAAAGTTTTTACATTTGAATGTAATTGTCAACAACACAGGATGCAGTTACAGTCTGCTTTGATACCCTCTCTTGAATATATATTTGATATTTCACAGGAATGAGGTAATAAAACGAAAATAAGTGTAATATAAATTGTTTATTTTTTTTAAATTGTACTTATACCCTATACGGAGTACCTTAACATTGAGTAAGTAAGGAATTAACACCGCAAAATGTATTTTTCATATATATCTATAGGAACGAATAGTCTCCATAGTAATGTTTGTTTCAATACTAACATTCTTTCTATTACATTATTATTAATTTATTATGTTTTAATTGAGTAAATCAATCTATATCAACTACATCACATCATATAGGTACAATCTTCATCATCTATATTCTACATTTTCACACTAAACATACATACTTAGTCACTATAACACCGTTGTCATTTTGTTACAATTTAAATAACATGAATTATTTCTATAACTTCGTAGATATAATGTTTGGCCCCGTAGCTGTTTCAACGTTATCTTCTTTAAATTGTGCAGTTTTGTAGGAATCGACTTGAGCGATTGTGTCAAACATTGGCAAGTTTTTGGTCTCTGGCGTGAATGTTAACAGGAGCGCAGCCATTACAGCACTTGATGAAAACAGGAATGACGGAAGCGCTGGTATTTCAGTTATCTGTAATTTAAAAAGACAGGAATTAAAACAAATCATGAAAGAGAAATCGATTTTGTCCTGTATCTTTTTTCTTCTAATGTCCCCCAACGAAACTTCAAAGAGATCTTTATTTTAGAACTCTGTGAATAATCAAGGATTTCGCCAATGCTCAGTGCTCTTACTAATTCGACCAAAAGAGAGGTACCTACAGAATTACAAATTGAGTTCGCTGTTCGATTTCAGGTTTGGATATGCGTCATCACAACGAAGTAAAATAATTTAAAATGGTTATAACATTGTTCGTAGGAATAGATAATATGGAGATGAAAACTAGATGATTTGCATAATATTAATTTATATGCATTTAGAAACCGCATAGTGATATCGTAATCTACTATTACTGGCTTGTTACAATTAATAGGCTGGCAATACATTTTGTAGTAGGTAGGTACATATTTGTAAATGTAGCTAATAGTTTAAGATGTGCTAGCCTAGCCTTGAGTAGGCCAGTGAGTAATAAGCTGATGCGACCAGCCAAATAACTCTTTAAATAGACCTCATTTAAATATTCAAATTCAATGTAAAGTGCGTCTCAGTTGAAGTAAGAATTTTATTTTATCGGTGATACCTATTAATTTATTCTTATTATCTTTTCAATTTATTTATCCCGAGGAAGGACAGGAAAAACCTGCCTTGTGCATTAGCACAAGGCAGAGAGAGCTAATGCAGCTCTCTAATCACAATTTTATGAAAGAGTTGAGTAGAATATTTCTTATGCCCTTACCAATAAAGGTGTCAACGGTGCTAACATACTGCCAACCCTGGCAGCCGTGTTGCCCCAGCCAAGCAGGGTTCCTCTGACACTGGTAGGGAATAACTCCAGACTGTAGGTGTAAATACCAGTAAAGCAGATCACAACTCCAAGTTTTCCGATCAAGAATAATATCACCTTCAACCAAGATAGTGCTAAAAAGAAGAATAATTACTTAAATAAAGTCATCGTAACATATGTTTTAAATAGACAAATAAGTAAGTGGTAATACTTACAAGATGGGCAGTAATTCTGGGCAATAAGAAATACTGCGGAAAGTAAATAACCACATTGCAAAGTTATTCTTCTTCCATACTTGTTAAATGTGTAATAAGCGAGCATTTCTCCTGGGAATGCCGTAAATGCAGAGAGAATAAAATTGGTATATTTATTTCCAGGTAGCAGAACTACGTGAACTAGGGATCCATAGTACAAGAAACTAGAAGTGAAGAAGCTGAATGACGATACTGACAAACGGGTCATTATCTCCTTCGATCCTATTATGACCTTCATACCTTCCTTCTCTTTTTGTTCTACGATATCAAACATTAGTCGCATTTGGTCGTCACTTGCATCCTCTATTTCTTTCTCTGGCAAATCGATTTTGTTCTTTCTTACCATAATCTTCAAAGTTTCTTTGGCTTCTTCCAATCTTCCACGTATCATTTGCCATCTTGTACTTTCTCTTAGACAGAAAAAATATAAACCAAAGAGTGACATAGGAGCGTAGACTACTATTATCAACCATTTCCAATAATGAAGGCTCATTGCTAAGAATGCGAACACTATTTCCCCAATGTACACAGCATACGAAAAGAAGATTCCGGCTAGGACTCTTTTGGAACTTCCTCCTACTTCGATCACTAAAAACACATGAAACAGGTATTAGAAACATTTTTATTACCTAGTACACGTTGTAGAGCGTTGTTTGTAATAATAAGAAAATACTTACATAAAACCACGCCTACAGTATAAAGCCCCGATCCCATAACAGATTCTAGAAATTCCAGTGCCAAGTAGCAGTAGTAGTTAGTCATGAATATTTTAAATACTCCAACACTTGCACCGACAGCGCAAATTATGAAGGTTGGTTTTCTTCCGATTCTGAAACAAGACCATGTTACAACTTATTTCTTCTGTATACTTTTACTATATACTGTGTTTCTTCTACTATAGTAGAGACTTTAAACGTTGCCCACACTGGGATTTTTCCTGAGTCGTTTTTTGGGTGCGTTTATATTAATACACATGACACCCAGACCCGGAACAACCTAACCCGGGACACGTTGCGCGGCAGCCGTTTGCCTAGCCACCGCACCAACCGTGCCGTCATTTATGGAACATGAACATGGGATTCAAAACACAACTAATGATATATCAAATATGTCTAATCAAAAGGTTAAAAATATATTATATTATCAAGTAAACTGGAATTTCTTCGCCTATGTAAAACTCAAACTAACTGATAACTACCCCATTATCCCGTCTTACAAGTGCGCACGAGGATGAGAAAATTCAAATCTTCTGCAGTATAAGGTCCTATCTCAACTAAACGGTGGAGTGTAAGGTCTTTGCACTTTTTGTTTAAGGAAATTTATATTTAAATATGTAAATATTTAATCTTTTTATTTTTAGTACGCTATTACAATATTTATCGAATATCTTTAAAAATTATGATAACATGACTGAAGAATACTTTATGGCTCCACCGAGATGTAATACAACTAGTTGCCCATTTGAAAAATAACGAAAAGAAGTATCAATTTTCTATGTGTACACTGTTCGATTGGTCATTTTATAGACCTATAAGATAAAGTAATTTGCTCTCCGATGCATTTTTATGTAAAGAAAACGTTTGTAACCTCATAAAGGGATATAAATAAGTCCGTCACAAAGGTGAATAACCTTTTACTTCGGAACGCAAAACAGCGGAATATGGATTGTAAAAGTTGTAATGAACTTGAATATTTGCCCAAATTACACGTTCCTGATCAAGGTTAGCAAGTAAATTCAACATAATTAATATTTAATCAATATTCCAATAGAATTTTCGAGGCATTCAAATTTTGCACTTAATCTAGGTGTTTACCACAACGTTTTTTCTTGTAAGCTGTAAAAAAACTTAATGTACAAAAAAACACACACAAATACACATAAAATAAGTATTTACGTGTATATAATTGGGTGTATATTTTTATTATAAAACTTAATCTTTGTGTGTTTCCTGGTTTACTTATGTACCTAAAAAAATTTTTTTTCTGAAATGAATGATCACAGACTTAGTTAGGAAATGTTTTGGGTCTTTTTAGATTTTTAACTTCGTGAAGGTTTGAGTCAAACGTAAGTATTGTCTTACTTGTCAGCTATCCATCCAGTGAATATCATAGATACTATCATCCCTGCGTTGTGGACGCCTCCTACTAAATTTACCTTCCACGGTTGGCACGCCAAGTTTAACTGAAACAAAAAAAATATATACCTACTAATCAAACGTTGTGCGTGTAGGTACGTATCATCATTATCGTAACGACCTCAAGACTGTCGCAGGGGAACAGACCTCTAGCAGTTTGCGTCCAAAATGGCAGGTAGAAACGACCTGCGTCTTGCTTGCTTAAAATTTATTGGTTACTTTAAATCACCCAGCAAAATTTCAGTGTTCCACAGTAAAACTCTGAAATATCGCCAGCAAATCATAACGCTGGTTTTATTAAATCGCAATATACCAAGGTACCGGATGTAGTTAGTCACTTTAAAAATTCCCTATTTTCATTAGCTCTTAGGCTATAAATACGTCATAAATAAAACTGCAAACTTGACATTTTCCACTGATTTCAACGGAAAACAACATTGCATGTGCTAATCCGATTGACACATCGATGGCGGTTCACCTAAAGTGACTAGCTTGAGTTACCTAATTTAATCAATAACTAGTAATGTGGGGTTCCGAAAAGGATATCTTCTAATTATTATTCAATAATAAATAATGATGTAAGAAGGAACAGCGTCTAAGTTGATATTCCGATGAATTACGTCGCACTTTAAATTCCTTTTTGCTATGATCATAAAATATGGGTATTTCGTTTTACATTATAAAAACAAATGAATTTTTTTTTTTTATGGAATAGGAGGCAAACGAGCAGACGGATCACCTGATGGTAAGCAATCAGCGCCGCCCATGGACACCCG